TCCCTCATGATATTTCCTATAGAAAAGGAATTATCTTATAAGCCACAACATTCTGTATCCAGCTATTTAAACAGCTATTCTTCTGCCACTTGGTGGGTAAATGTATATTATGATAATGTATCGAAACATAAATAGTCACCTGTTTATTCAGATGATCCCCACAATAACTCCCCAATACTTTGGAAAATTCGGGTTAATTAATCACGTGGAATAACACACAATAGATTCATAAAACTATTTGACTCATTATTAAGGGAGGGAACTTTTCTATTATCGTCTATATGCCCATATAGCATTACACTTAAAACTCATATAGAAACCATATCACTGCCAAAATGATCATGTATTTATTCACTTCTTCTCATTTTTCAGTAGATTCTCATAACTCTATGGTGTTGTAAGACTTCTTTATAGGACATGTCTTTATTTCAATATGGGAATGTATCCATTGTATATGCTTATACTCCCTTATGCATAAAAGGGGCTCTGAATATCACTTAACATTCTACATCCTCCTGTGGTGAATAAGGAAACGCCCGTTATAGCATCATCTATAGTCTTAGATACAGACAAAAATGAAGTTATTGTACGACTTATTATAGTTCATGAACTCAGCACAGATTCAAGATATTATCTGTCCTTATTCCTTTGTTTATATGTTAGAAAACATGAAACCGCCGATTTCATATATCCATCTGGTGAGAGAAAAAGATTTCCCACCGATCTTATTCCTTATGTGTTACGCTCACTCCCTTTCTGGGTTCTATGGTTTGGGTGTAGTGTCTAATCTTGATCCCCTCTGCATCTTTCCCTGTCTCCTCTCCTCTGGTGTTGTCTCTTCTGTATGTATTAATTAGGTACCTTCCCTCTTAGGCATCTCTACTTTGATCGTCATGTTGATATCTCGACTGGTTTGTGGTCTATTTATATGGTCCTACATATATGTCTCTCCGTCCTCTGAAGTAGATAATTTTTTCAAATATGTCAGTTGTATTCGTATATACATTCTATTATAGTCATCCGCTCCTATTTGGTGCCTCCCCTTCTTTTAGATTAATGATTCTTTAATATCTTATATGTATTCTTATTCTTATGCTCATTTTATCCCCTTGGTGCGGTCCATGTTATTATTATTCCTAACTCTCCACGACGAACAGCCCGTTCTATATAGTACTATTCCTTTTATAATTTCCTATTCCTCTCTAGAGTATAAGAAGTTTAATCTTTCATCTTACATAATTCTTACATTTTAATAGTACCGCATCGATTTCGAGTCTTGTTAAGAGGAAAATACTACAGATTAAAGCAGATGTGCAAATCTTCCGTAATCATTGTTTCTTAATAGTACCCGGATAATTATTGAATCTAGATTACAATAATACTGAGAGGGAATAATCAGAGTTCACGACATATTATCATACTTACAAGGCTACTTTGCCTATAAGACGTTCTTCCTATATATAAGCACCCTTGGAAGCTGAAACCCTTTTTTGTGATAGTATTCTTCAGTCCCTTATACAGCATGAATAGCCTTAGGATTTGTATATGCGTATTCCTGGAATGGATTTCTTCTAGAAGCCAGTCTACTGGTAAAATCGTATGATTTCTACAACTGCCGCCCTCCTTAAGGAATTCGACTCTCCAAACCTTTGTATTATCTTAAACAATTTTCCTCCTCATACAGCACTGTTCTACATAGAATATTACCCTAGACAGAAGCTTATCCTTTAAACACTCGTTGTAAGGACGATTCTTAGAGTTAATACAAATATACCGCAGGCATCTTGTATTTTCTATATATGTGTAACGCTTAGTGATCGGAACCCCTTTAAGAATACCGCTGAATCCACTCTATTATCTCTTACTAAATATCTCTTTTTAAATTATGTTGCTTCCTGCTCTAAATCTTGACGACTCCATAATAGAGACTCCCGGGATTCTCCTACTGTTTATGCAGTGATACTCTAGAGAAATTTCTCCTTTTCACATACTTAATAATGGTCGAGAAAAATGTATTCCTTATATATTAGTCTTCCAAGGAAGTGTATATCCTTCGCCTCATTCTATTCTTCAAATAATAGCACCTGTTGTCCTAACTTTTCCATATAAACGTATTCCAATCATAGTCATAGAACCCGCACATTTATGCTCCTGATATAATCGTCCTCTATGTAGATGTGTTATCTTCAGCAAATAATCGTCTTCAAATAAAAAAACTGTAAAATATGAACCTGGTGCACAATAATATTCAGGAGACATGTATACAGTACACATAATTATACTGGAGGTATAGACGCATGGTTCATATAATAGGGCTGTATACTAAGCTTATATTCTACAGGCCCGTAGTCCTGGGGGAAGCGATATTTTTTAAATAATACTACACATAAATCATTATTCCTCAATTAGTCACGTTCTCCAATTAGTCGTATCTAAAACGTTATGTTATTAGGCCTTCACATAAAAGCATTCCTGCGACACTGTACATTACAACCAACATTTCGGCTAGAATCCTCGCCTTGTCCATATGCAAGTATTTCTGTTTCTATTGTATTACTCCGGCAATAATACATTCGGCACAGCTATACCGCTTGCACCTGCGCGTGATTAATGGCTGGCTTTTTCCTTTAGAATGTATCCCTTAATTGTTCACATAATATTATTTCATGGAGATCTATACTTATCAATGAGTGGTGTCGCCCAAAGAATAGGAACCGAAATTTGGAACACATAGCCCACAATTGACACACTTTTGCGTTTTCGATGGGCATATTGTAGGAGAATCCGTATCTTTCAAAGGACGGTTTCTGAGAATATCTGTATCCCTTATACAATACTGTATTCTCAATATCATTGCACTCCACAGAATGGCACTTCTCATTTTCCCTGCTCTCTAGATATCATATGAGTGCTGGGACAATAATTTCTTTCAAATGAATGTGCTACAAGCTCTGTCTTAGTTATAAAATATTTTCCCTTCCTTACAATAACAACATAACCGATAAACCTATACAATAATATTCCTGACACAGCTGTATTCTTTACCAGCATGGACACTTTAGACACATGTGTACTGTTTATATCATCATACCTTTCCTATACTAATACACTTAGTATATTCGTCCACTTCTTACAGTGGAGTCATTCATACATTACCATCCTTGCCAGGCACGACGGATAAAGATAACGATATGACATGCATGTCCACACACTTTAAATCATAGTACTCCTTGTACAGTAGTATTCACTTTACAATGTTATGCTTAATATATCAATACTTCGCGCACATCTGCCCTATCCACATAATAGTACTCTGGGAATGTTACCAGTGGGATCGAATAAGTAATTCTTAGACAATACTCCTTCATGCATATGTGTACACTTGCTCGAGCGCTACTCCCCCAATCATGCAGTTCCACACATTATACGGCTGTTAATATAATAACACTCGACGGAGTGCTATTAATTCCGGAATATGGTGCTTTCCCTATAATAGAAGCCTAAACAGTAGGCCATAATGTTCCACTTGTTTTAATAATTGTGCATGGGGTATATCCAGAATCCCACCACAATTTTGCACTCCAGGACATCACACTAGGGAGATATGAGTACGCTCACAAAACTGCGCCGCAGATCATCCGTACGTTTTATACAGTTATTCCCCTAAATGGACAGTACTTTGCAGGTATCAGTATAGATTAACCATTAATACATTGATATAACAGTACTACGAAAATTTCCGCATTCGTCACCATGGGAAATGGGGACACATGTATACTTCCTTGTCATCTACCCTTGTAGAATATGCATGCACTTCATAGAATATTAC